ACGCGGGCGCCAGGCTGTCCTGACCACCACCCGTGTCCGAGTCTCGGGTCCAGGGAGTGCCCACGCGGGCGCCAGGCTGTCCTGACCACCACCCGCGTCTGAGTCTCGAGTCCAGGGAGTGTCTACACGGGTGCCATGCTGTCTCGATTACTGCTCATTTCTCAGTCTTGGGTCCTGGGAGCCTCCACACGGGTGCTAGGCTGTCTCGACTACCACTGATTTCTGAGTCTTGGGTCCAGGGAGTGAACACACGGACGCCAGGCTGTCTTGACTACTGTCCATTTCTGAGTCTCATGTCCAGGGGGTGCTGGGTCCTTCAACTTCTTCTTCATTTCCGAAGTTCTGCCTCCTCCAGTCCTGTGTGTGTTCCCATATGAATTTCAGAGTAAGCTTGTGTGAGACCATGTCTCTATATAACCACCCTGTATGTAACCATTTAAGTATGTAGCCATTTTGCAATATGCCTTAGCATTTACTTCACGCTTTAGTGCTTTAGTTACTGGAAAAACCACAAAGAGTCCTGACTACCCCCATCTCATCGATACCCAAGCATTCTCCTTAGCAACAACCAATCAGTAAATTGTAGAGAAATACCTTACCTAAAATAGTTAGAAACAACAGTTTGTGGCTTTGGCCCACCAGACAGAGACAAACAACTAGCAACTTGGAAAATGTCAACCAATCCTGTAATTTTCTGATTGAAACGTCCTCCTTCCTGCTGTACCCCCCTATAAAAACCCCATTACCCCTGAGTTCAGGGCTCTCAATCCTGAACTGCTGCGTCGGTGATGGTTGGGGGTCTGAGCTCGAGCTTGAATAAATAACTCCTATGCTTTTAGTGATACTGCCTTGGAAACCCAAGGAGGGGTCGCTATGAGTCGGGGCCGACTCCACGGCACATAACAACAACAACAACACTTTCGTAGCGGAATCGGCTCCTTGGTGGTTTTTGGGGATTCAAGATCTGGGCACAACACTTGTCAATTTCTACAAAAAAGCCTTCCAGGGGTTGCAGTAAGACGGCAGAACAGGCAAAAGACTGCACAGACCCTCTTCAACAAAGGAAAGGGGACCCAATTAACACTGATACAGAAGATAATCCTGGAGCCCTGAGCTTTGAAGGGAAGGATATAGAAGTGGACTAAACTCCAACTAGCAAAACTTGCATGAAAACACTGAAAAAGGAGACATACAGAGCTGCGGTCTGGCAGTGATCTTGACGGCACAGACAGCTGGGACATTGCCGAGTGGCGTCAGGACCTAAGAATTAACATAAAGATGGGCCCTGCTAGCCAGGGGCCGCACGGAGGACTGCACTAGTGGCTGTGAATAAAGGGAGAAGCAGCGAAGAGGAGGGCTGAGCTGTGGACTTCTGCCTGTCCAGAGGGCACAGCCACTTGGGACATTTACAAGCCGTTTGACCATTTTGATATTTAAAGCGACAGCGATCTCTCAGACTCCAGGGACTTAAGAATATGCTCCACTTGCCGGGAACCACAAGGACATTCCAGACGCCAATGGTGCAACGTTCCCCTTGTTCCTCTTATACCCCACACCCTCTTGGTGAACAGAGGTGCGGCCATTCTCACTCCCACCCACCTTCTGGGCCAGCAGGAATTTCATCCCAGTCTGTGTGCACGGATGGAGCCTGGGGGCCCTGCCCTGCTCAGGTTTTTTTTTTTCCTTTTTGTTCACTGTGTTTGTTTTGGTCTGTTTTAAATTCTACCTCTTTTCTCTTATTGCCGCCTCCTCAGATATTTCAGGTTTTCCTTTTTTAGTGATTGTTCCTGTGTGTCTGCACAATGTGATTTTTGTCCGCTTGCTTTTTTTTTTGATGGTTTTTCGATTGCTGTTTTTGTCTAACTGAATGGGAGACAGCACCCGCACCCACATGATGCAACCACACCCGCACCTCCTGCAGCTCCACTTACTAAGTGAGAGCCACCACTTTCTTCTCCACCAACTGGCCAAAGATAAATGACCACCAAGAACAGCCTGATTCACACTTAACTGCTCTTCACAAACACTTAACAAAGATCTAAATACAACAATGTCACAATGTCTCAGAGACAACAGACCATCACAGTCCACACAAAGAAGCAAGATAAAGTGGTAGAAACAAGGGAGCAAAAATACAGACCCAGAACACATCCCTGAGGAAAAGATGGGACTGGGGTCAGGGTGCCACAGACCACAGCTGAAGGAGGCGGAGGCAGGAGCTGGGGTGAGACGGCCCCCGAGGAGGACGTATGGAGCAGACCGGCACACCCTGAGGTTTGAAGTATGGTTTACACAACAAAAACCTAGAAAAATGCGGTTTAAAATTCAAATCTGTAGCCTGAAAAAAAACGTAATTTTAGGGGACTATGCCAAAACCTAAGTGCTCTAATACTACTGCTGCTAACTCTGTAATTCCCTTCCAAGTTCATCCCACTCCAGCTGAAACACATGCTCTGAGCAGAAGCACATTCTGAGTCTTGTAACGAGTGCTCAATCGGTTTTCTACGACCATCAGTCACAAAGACGCCCTCGCATCCAGTCATTCCTAAATCAGGCCGTGATGGGAGAGCGACATTTCCCCCAGGCCATGAGAAGCTGGGAAATGGCCCTCACGGGACCCCTCCCCCCCGCAGGACGCCCTCACACCTGGGCACCTCATGCTGCATGTAGCCGGCTTTCAGGACAGGCCTCCAGGCAGCCCACTGTTGAGAACAATGGGTCAGCGCCAGACTCTGCTCCCTGGTGCCATGGTCCAAGAGGACATCTTCCCGACAACTCGCGGCCCCCACACCCCTCGCTCACTTCTCGTGTGGCAGGTGCCAGATGGCCCTGCCCTGTCCACGAAGGGTCACACACACTTGTCTACTGACTCTGTGGGGCAGACTATGTGGCTTATCAACAGCTGTATGGTCTGTGACCCCCCACATGACCCGGGGTGTGACCTGGGTGCATCTGTTAACACCTCCCTTGTCAGCATGTCTGTCTCACAGCATGTTTGCCACACAAACCACACCAGTGTGAGTCATCAGCAGGTTGGCTCCAGGGAAAGGGGTGGGGCAGAGGGCAGGGGCGGAGCCAAGAGCAGCTCCAGAGGGCAGGGGCGCTAAGGGGCTCAGTAAGAGCTCAGACTCTGACTACAGTCCCTGGAAAAGGGAAGCGGCAGACAGGTGACCATGTGCTCAAAGTAGGCCAGGAGGCATCCACGGGAGATCCTGTCCATGCACAGACGTAAGCTGACACCTGGCATCTCACCTTGGTCTCTCTGTGACAAGCACCTCGCAGGCACACAGGAGCTCGGAGGCCCTCGAGTCTCAGCGAGGGAGTTTTCTAACAGGAACCCATCCGGAAGGAAGCAAGGACCCCAGGCAGGCTGGCCAGAGCTCCCAGTGGCAGGAGGACGCCACCCAGGTGTCACCCAAGGCCACCGTCCTATCCCCTGGGAAGGCACCACTGTCCCAGCACTCACCTTGCAGCGGGTAGTGGGGGGGCGGGGGCGTGGCAAAGTCCAGCTTGTCCTTCAGGTCCTCCTCATTCTCCTTCTGCCACTGCAGGCCGACCTTCTCCCAGAGGCTGGTGGCCAACTGTCTGCAGCACAAGGACACACGCAAGGTCAGCACACTCCCCAGGAGGTGGTGGACGGTTCCAGAAAGCTGGTCACGGTTTCTACAGACTCAGGTGACTGCATGTGAGACTGCCTGCTACCAGGCCTGGGTGAGGCGAGGCTTTGGTTCAAGACTGCACTGTTGGGAGAACAGGACAGTCCCTACCCTGCTGAGCACCCCGGTTCTGGGGGGCTTTTGAGGACGTTACTGACAGCACCGGAGGAAGAGGTGTGGTCAGACACATGCAAAGGGCACTTCCAGTCAAGCCTGCAGACCCCACATGGCTGGAGGACAAGGGGACCGGGGAGGGGGCACTTGTAGAAGATTCGAGAGCAAAGAGAAACAACTGCCTCTGAGAACGTGCACTTGGGAGCAGGTGCCCAGCGCACAGACTGTCACCACGTTTCAGGGTTGCAGTGAGCCCTCCCCAGCCCCGCATCCTTGCCTGATCTCAGGAAGCCCGTCGTCCAGGCTGCTCAGCAGCAGTGGGATGAGCTTGTGGAAGAAGGAATAGCGGTCCCGCAGCGCCAGCAGCCAGGCCCCCACCACAGAGGTCACCGCCTGCCTCACCTGCACCAGGGAAAGTGAGGACACATGGGTAGAGGCACGAGCAGGCATGTAACCGTCCCAGCTCCACTGAGCTAACAGGGACACGTGTGTTCCACACTCAGTTACCAGGCCAGGTCCAGGGCCTCCTGGCCACCCTGTTGGGCCCTGACGGCCATGGTGTCTCTGGCCCAGGCTCATGCCCGCCTCTGGGCTGACCCCAGTGTCAGAGCAGGAATCCTCGTTCCTGTTCTGAGTGACACAAAGACTTCTCCATGACAACTCCTAGTCAGGTGGGGACTGTTTCCTCATGGACACTGAGATAAGCTGTGGCTACTGGGAAACAACCTGCATCCGGTGGATAAGGCATTTGGCTGCCACCCACCAGCTCCTTGTGGAAGGAAGATGGGGCGATCTACTTTCATCAATATTTACAGCCTCGGAAACCCAATGGGGGTCATTGTGAGTCAAATTTGACTCAATGGCAGTGGGCGAGAGCCAGAGTGCAAAGGCTGCTGATCTTGCAGCCACTGATCCTTTGGGGGAACCAGTAACCCATACAGTGCTGCTGCTGCTTGAGGGTTCCCGCCTGGTCCCCCATGAGGGTGGCCCCACTTGCCCTCCCAGGAGAGTAATAAGCAGCTTAAAAACCTACCAGGATCTTAGGCCCCCTGAGATGAGATGCAAGTAGAGCCCTGGTACCTCCACACCTGCCTCAGCTGACTGGAGGCACTTACCCCCTCCCCTGCACCAGTGCCCAAGGACAACAACTGGCCCAGTTCTCTTGGCCCCAGGACCTCAGGAGAGGAGCCTGACGGTCACCCCACCTCTGACACACGTGCCTCCCAGGCTCTCCTGGCATCCACTGTTTCCTGAAGGTCCCCCCCAATAGGAAGGGATGAGCAATGTCCCGCCCAGCAAGGACCCTGAGAGTAGAGTAACACTGGGCAATGGGGCGGCTGGCTGGTCGGGTGCCCAGTGCACACCACGCTCGCAGGAACAGCGGCCAGTCAGCCAGCAGGCAGCAGGTCTAGCTTCTGCTTCAAACCAGACTCTGCTCCGGTGTGAGCCCAAGCGAATGGGGCCTGAACTCAGGGCTGGATCCCGTTAGCCCTGCGGCGCCTGGCTATCCCACAGCTGCAGACACCACGGCACCTGATACACAGTATCTCACCGTCTGCACCCCATCCCACAAAGCGCCTGGTGCAGGGCCACCCTCCCTGAGTCCACGCTCTCCTCCTCTGCCACTTTCCTCAGTGGGACAGGCAGGGATGGCTTCGCTGCTTCCCAGGCCTCTCCCCTCCACACTCTGTATGCCTGGAACCAGCCTCTGGCCTCTCCAGTCCATGTGCACGTGAAAACAGAGCCAGAACCGAGTCTGCATCACACAGGCTCAGCGTCAGCCAAGTCTGGGAGGCAGCACGGTGCTGGAGGGCACTCTGATGTCAGCCAGCCCCACAGCACGGTCACTTGGGTGCAAGGTCTCAGGGTAGAATCAAGGAGATCATGCCCAGAAAGGAAACGGGAGATGCGTGCACGCACGCACGCACGCACATGGGGAGTTCTGACTGTGTCAATATGACTATCTCATGTGGCTGGGGCAGAAGCACCTGCTACTTGCTCTGACAACCACTGCAGATGTTTGGGGCATGCAGCCCACCTTGTGGCCCCTTTCCCTCCCCGTGGGAAGAGTCTGCCCCTAGAAGTCTCCGCCCTGCTCCTCTGTAACCTAGTTTTGTGACGTCTTATTAAGCAAGCAAGCCAATTGCAGCTTCAGATCCAGGCAAAGCTCCCAGCAGACGATTTGTCTGTCTGTCTGCCCTAAAGTCCAACAAAATGAGTTTTTCCAACAAGCCAACCTGGTCCCCTTCTCCCTGCCGTCTGGTCCACCACCCACTGTGGCTGCCTGGGTGTGGGCTTGTTGGAGGTGTGTCTATGGATAACTCCAGTATAGACACTCCAGGGCTCCCACCTTCTAAGACACAGTAATACAACAGGAACCTTCTCACGTTCCTTGGAATTTAGCAGACAGGTGGGAACGAGTCAGCACCCAAGCCCCCGAGTGTCTCTGAGATGCTGAACAGGATCATCTTGGGAAGGATGCCAGGTGAATCGGTGACACCTTAGGAAGAGGCCATGGTGCGGATGACAGACACATGCACTGCCTGAGGGACGGACCGACTGCGGGAGAGCCGGTGACAGATATTCACGGCTCTGATGGAAGGAACAGACTCGTACCTGCGGGACATCATCAAACAGCCGCTGAGCCAGGTGAGAGAGCACATCGTCCACAGACTTCCCGTTGCCAAACTGGATCACCGTGCCGGTGGCCTCGATGACAGCCACGCGGACCTTCCAGTGCTGGTGAGCAATGGTCTGCATCAGCGGGCCGACCAGGGACTCGGCCTGCATGTGGAAGTGGTCTGCGGGAAGGGGAGGTGGTTACAGGGCTTCTCCCCGCACCCAGCCCCGGCCCTCAGCACTCAGGCTGGACAGGGACTGCACGTGGAAGTGGTCTGGGGGGGGCGACGGGAGGCAGTTACAGGGAGGGGAGGCAGTTCCAGGGCTTCTCCCTGCACTCAGCCCCAGCCCTCAGTACCCAGGCTGGACGGGGACAGCATGTGGAAGTGGTCTGGGGAGGGAAGAGAGACAGTTTCAGGGTTTCATCCTAGAGCCCTGGCTGGACAGGCCACGTAGTTCCAGGCTGCTCTGTGCACATCAGGACCCCAAATTCCATCCTCTCCCCTACCAAGGCCCATTATGTAACTGGCCTGCTTTGTACCCTGACCAGGGAGAGGCTCAGGCATAGCATGTGACCCCAATAGCACCAGAGGCTTTGGGGGGCTACTGGGGAAAGCTGGGGGCTCCACCCCACTTAACCTGAAAACAGAAGTGTGAGTGAGAGCCTGCAGGGGCTGGCAGCTTCCACGGGGCACCTGCGTGGGGGCTGACACAAGGAGGGACACTGAGCCTGGAGCACGCCGTTCAAGTCCCCAGATCCAGCTGTGCCTGAAGCTGGCCAATGCAGACTGCCTTCGGGGAGCTCAACCAGCCCACCTGAGGCAAAGGCACAAACGTCACTGGACATTTATAAGGTGCCAACAAAGGTCAGAGCCAGAGGGGCCTTCAGGGCAGCCAGGCTAAGCCTCTCATTGGGTCCTGCCCTCCGTTCTGCTGCTGACCGGGGCCACATGTGAAAGGGCTATTTCAGTCACCACCTAGTGTGACCAGAGCTGTGATGGGTGACCGCTCAGCAAGGGGGGTGGGGGAGGATGTGCCGAGATGTTCGATGTTCCTTCTGTCCCTCCTCATTTGACATGAGATGGCCCAAAGAGGAAAAGCCGTTCCTGCAGGAAGCAGCCCATTCGGGCAAGACAAGCCACTACTGTGCGGCAGCCACGCCCATCTTTCTGGAGCCCACCGCCTAAGGGAACCGCCAGCAAAGGCTGGGAGGCCCTGGAGGAAGAGGCAGGTGCTGCAGAGAGCAGGGGCACCGGTGGCTAAGGGGTGACGAGAAACGCTTTAAAAGCATTTCCAGTGGCCACCTCCACTCAAGCTTTTTCCCCAAGCGCTTCTCAGCTAGAATTTTTGAGTGCCAGTTTGAAACCTCAAACTTCACACGACAAACGGGAAGTCCTGATACTCCCAGAAATCTAGATCTTTCTCTGTCTTCCTATTCACTCAAAACCTCTTCTCACGCCCCCTTCATTCAACCCAACAAGGACTCCTGTCAGTTCCACCCTCAGAACACCCCTCACTCGCCCAATTCTCTTCTATTAGCAGACAGACCGCCTGCTCCCAAGTCACCACCATTGAAAACACGGATTAATAAGGATTTGAAGGGCTCCCCAACTTCCTCTGTCACCACTGTCATGAATTCTCCACCCAGCTTCCGTGTCCTTTCAACACAAGTGGAATGAGTCAGAACCCCTTCGTGGGTGGCCCCGGCACTAGACGCTCAGTGCAATCCTGACTAGGTCCTCGGTGCACCACCCAGCCCCTCACGCCTTCCACTCCAAGAACCTGCATCTCTTCTTCCTCAAACCTCCCAAACGTCACCAAGGCGGCTCCCTCCCAGCCGCCGATTCTGTCTGAACCACGGAAGCCTTCCCGACACCACTCAGTGGGCTCCTTCTGTCCCTCCTCGTGCGACCTGAGATGGCCCAGAGAGAGATCAAGATCCTGCAGAGCGTTCCCACCCATCCCGGGGCCTCACTGCGGGGAAATAGCCACTCAGGAAAAGCAAGTGATGACCCTAGCTGCTAGGTGCAGAACGGGATAAAAGAAAGCAGTGGTCCAATCAAAAGGAACGACAGACGACCTGAAGCAGAGAAACGGGACGGTGTTTTTCAAACGGCTTCCCTTATCCGCCTGCATTAAAATCGCCGGAGGTGGGGTGGGGGCGCTATCAGGAGGCAACCACCCCAGATCCACCTAAAAACCTCCCCGGGGACGATCCTCAGGAAGCCATGTTTACAACACCCACCCCACGTGATTTTTACTTCCAGAGGCGAGGGACTGGAAAGAACAGAAGCTGGGGGGTCAGGGAGTAGACCTCCCGCTCAGCGCCACGCCTATGGGCGGCGCAAGAGGGCGCGAGGGAAAGCGCCGCGGCCCCCGCGGCCGGGGACCCTCGTCCAGCGCCTTACCCGGAGTGGCGCGCGCCAAAGCGGCGGCGCATGCGCAGCTCTCGCGGCGTACGGCGGCGAAGGGGTCGAGCAGGGTGCAGCGCAGCACGCGCACCGCGTCGTCGAGGTAGGGCGCGAGCGCAGCGCCGCCCAGGTCCACGGCCAGGCCGAGCAGCTCTACGAGCGCCAGGCGCAGCTCCTCGCATGGCTCAGGCGGCGGCCGCCGCGCGGGCTCGGTGCTGGCCAGGCGCGCCACGAGTGCGGGCAGCAGGCGAGGCAGGGCGTCGTGGGGCCGCGCGGCGCGTCGCAGGCCCAGGCCTAGCAGGTGCACGGCCAGTGCGCGGCAGCCCTCGGCCGGGTCGGCCAGGCAGCGCAGCAGGCGCGGCAGCAGCAGACGCGTCCAAGGGCCCTGGAAGGCGGCAGCAGCGTTCGCGGTGTCAGGCGGCCCGGGCCGCGCCGCCTCCAGCTCGCGCTGCAGGGCCTCCAGCGCGCGACGCCGCCCCAGCTTGGTGTCGGCCTCCAGCCCTGGCAGCAGGCGGCTCAAGGCGCGGCTCAGTTCCGCCGCTTCCGCCGTCTCGGGTGGACCCGGGGGCGCCGGGGCGTCCGCTGCCACCAGCGCCGCCATCTTCCCCGCGTTGTCTGTAACTAAGGGAAACCGGCGCTTTTACGACCGTTGCAGTGTGGATTGCGGCCTTGTTTCCGGCCTGGCTCCGAATAGAACTTTATTGATACCTTTTGATGCGACCAGGACACGGCCTTGGTGGTGGGGCGGCGGTTCTAACGTCATCACTGCGCGCCTCGTTAGTGACCTTTGCCCTTCTGTATTAAACCGAAATAACATCGACCTTACAGAACGCTTACCATGTGCCAGGCACAGTCCAATTAATACTTCCCCCAGTAAGGAAGCAGTTGCTTATAATTCACACCTTACAGATAGAAAGCAGATTTGTATGGAGAAGTAATTGGCCCAACGTCAAAAAAAAAAAAAAAAAAAAAACAAACCCATTGCTGTGCAGTGTGGAGTGGATTTCGACTCTCGGCGACCCTACGTGTTGCAGGGTGGAACTGAGCTCCGCAGAGTTTCTTGGCTGTAATCTTTAGGGAACCAATTTGCTGGGCATTTCATTCGTAGCACTGCTGCGTGGATGTGAACCAGCAACCTTCAGGTTAGCAGTCAAGCATAAACCATCTCTGCCACCCAGAGGTCTTTGGGCTCAAGGCCACACCCCTCAAAAGAGGAGGATTGAAGACTCAGAGGGGCCGGTGGAGCCCAGTTCTGGGGCTTTTCCTCCAATGGAATCCTACCTGGTTTAATTGGACGTTGAGGAGGGAATCCATTATCACTCTAGGATACCCAGTGACCCCCTCCTGTGCCACGTAAAACTCCCCAAGCTTTGGGAAATTCATCCCAGAAAGGAAGGGCGCGTGTTTCAGTCACTGGATCCAGTCTGGTGGTTTGTGCTGGACTTGGAACAGTGGTGTCTGACGGCTGCCTGGTTAGGTTCTGGCAGGATTAATAACATCAGCTCAGGAGCGAGATGCTGTGGTCTCGCTGTCTCAGGAGGCAGCCAAAGGCACTAAACTGTGGAAGAAATCACCCCAGTAAGTTGAGTAGATTGGAAGGTGGATCTGACAGAGCCCACTGTGACCAAAGTTCCCAAAATCTGATCAGCCAAGGAGCTCCTGCCTGTGACAATACACGTGATGAGTTTTCCAGCAGAAAATGCCCTTAGTTTTCAGAAGGGACCTGTACTTTGAATCTGACTTATTATTATGCTGTTAACATTTGTTTTATAAAAAACAAAAACAACAACAAAAAAAAAAACCTCACTGCCATCGAGTTGATTCATTTTGACTCATAGTGCCCCCTCCTTGTGTTTCCAAGGCGGTATCACTACGGAAGTAGATTGCCCAGTCCTCCTTCTGAGGAGTGGCTGGTTAGCAGTCAAATGCTGTAGGCACTACGCCACTAGATGGTGCAGTTAATTCTGTCCTTCACCAGGTGAATGGCTGAGCACCGGTGGTCCATCCACCCCATGGAATAAAAAGGAACCAGTTGTGGATACAGCAGCTCAGATGAACCTCAATAATATGTGTCGTTAGGTGTTCTCAAGTCAGTTCCGACTCCTGGAGACCCCATTATACCAGAACGAGACACTGCCTGGTCTGTGTCAGCCTTGCTACCCCACTGTACCTGAGCCCCTCGTTGCACCCACTGTGTCCATCCTTCTCGTTGAGCACCTTCCCCTTCTTTGCTGACCCTCCATCTTACCAAGCTTAATACCCTTCTCCAGGAGATGGTCCCTTCTGACATGACCATAGTAGGTGAGGCCAAAAGTCTGGCCATTCTCGCTTCCAAGGAGCATTCCAGCTGCAATTCTTCCAAGACAGATTGTTTGTTCTTTTAGCAGCCCATGGTACTTTCGGCATTCTTCACCAGCACCACAACTCAAAGGCACCAACTCTTCTTCGGTCTTCCTTATTCATTGTCCAGCTCTCACGTGCATACGAGGAGATGGAAATACCATGGCTTGTGTTAAGTGCACCTTCATCTTTTCTCTTCAGCACTTAGAGAGGCCGTTTGCAGCACATTTGCCCAGTGCAGTACGTCATCTGCTTTCTTCACTGGTGCTTCCATGGCTGTTGGTTGTGGATCCAAGTAAAATGAAGTCTCTGACAATGTCAAATCTTTTCTCTGTTTATCATGATGATGCTTATGGGTCCAGTTGTGAGGATTTTTCTTTTCTTTGTGTTGAGGTGTAATCCATACTGTAGACTGTAGTCTTTGATCTTCACTAGTAAGTACTTCAAGTCATCTTCATACTCAGCAAGTAAGTTGTGCCTTCTGGATATCGCAGATTGTTAATGAATCTCCTCCAATCCTGGTGCCGCGTTCTTCTTCATATGGTTCAGCTTCTCGGATTATTTGCTCAGCATGCAGACTGAATAAGCATGGGGAAAGGATACAACCCTGACACACACCCTTCTGATTTTAGACTTTGCACTGCCCCCTTGTTCTGTTCAAGTGACAGCCTCCTGGTCTATGTACAGGTTTCTCATGAGCACAATTAAGTGTTCTGAAATTCCTATTCTTCACAACGTTAGCCAAGATTTGTTATGATCCACACATAGCAATAAAACAGGTAGCTATCTTTCTGGTATTCTTTGCTTTCAGCCAAGCTCCATCTGACATCAGCAATGGTATCCCTCATTCCATGTCCTCTTCTGAATCCAGCCTGAATTTCTTGCAGTTCCCTATCAATGGACTGCTGCAGCCATTTTTGTATTATCTTCAGCAAGATTTTGCTTGCGTGTGACATTGATGACACTGTTCACTAATTCCCACGTTCTGTTGGTACATGCTGAATGAAAAAAGGCCAGTCTCTAAGGACACAGCTTGTGTGACTCCGTTTGCATTACACCCATGGAATGACATAGAGGAAGAGCAGAGTAGTGTTGTTGACAAAGAGCAGAGGCGTGAGGAACGGGGGTGGGGCTGGTTGTAAAGGTGTGATACGGGAGAGCCGTGTTGTGATGGTACAGCTAAGTATCACAAGTGTAGTCGTGCTCACATGACGCTACACATAGGACAAAACTGTATGACTAAACACACACATACACAAACAAGTGTGTAGCTGGCAACATCCAAATAAACTCTGGATTGTCCTTAGGTCAGTTTCCTCATTTCAATATTGTGTATCTAGGCTCTCCTCTCACTCTGTGTTGTGTTACATGGTTATGCAAGATGTCAACATTGGCAGTGGCTGGGTGAAGGGGCCATGGGACCTCTCTGTTCATTCCACTGCTACTTCTTAGGAATCTATACTTAAAATTATATAATTTGGGTGCTGTAGAAAGGTGGCTGGGAGCTATGGTGGCGTAGTCCCTAAGGCACTTGATTGCTAACCAGAAGGCTGGCAGTTCAAACCCACCAGCCACTCCTTGGAAGGAAGGTTAGGCAATCTACTTCTGTAGTGATACTACCTCAGGAACCCAAGGAGGGGTTGCTATGAGTTGAATTAGACTTGATGGCTGTGCATGTTTTTTTTTTTTTTTTTTGGTTTAGAAAGGTGGATGGAACTGAGTGATGATTGGAGGTGAAGAGTTATTAGACTTGGTGTTTATGGGAGAGAAGGGTCCGGGAGACTGAACTGAGGGTGTGCTGGAAAAAGACAAGGCTGGGGACAGAGATGGGAAGTTCGTGCATTTGCTCTGGGAAATGTTGACTTTGAGGCAACTTTGAACTATCAGGAGATGACTAGAGGGCAGTTGGGACTAAAGTCTGGAGTGCGGAGCAGTATTTGGGGCTGGGGATGGATGTCTGAACTTGCCTGGAGAAGGGAGTGGCCTTGAGTAAGAGTGCCATGTTGGTCTGTGGAGAGTGAGGAGAGAGCCCAGGGCAGAGTCCTGACCAAATCAACATGTGTGGTTGGCAGAATCTGCAAGAGAGACAGAGAAGGAATGACCAGAGACGTGGGAAGAATGCCACAACAGAGTGGAGTCAAAGCACCCGGAAGAGAAGGGTGTTGCAACGAGAAGAGGACGATCTGTGAACACGGTGTGAAGAACGTAACCAGTGTTACTGACCAGTGTGTCTAGAAACCTGAATGGGAGGGAGATTAGCTGTGTATGTTTTCACAAAACTCAAGAGGATAACCTATAACCGCCAGTCATGCTGAGAGGGCAAATAAGGTGCTGATGGGGGAATAGATGACAGCCATTGAGTTTGGTCACTTGGTGGTCCTGGCAGACTTCATGAAATTGCTTATGTGGGACAGGAGCAGGGAGGGGCTGAGGAGTGTGACCGGTGAGGAAGTGGAGGCCACCCGCTCTTTCAACAAGTCTGTCAGTGAAAGGAAGGGGAGAGGTGGGTGCAGACGGGGTCCCCAGAGGTCATTTGGTTGTTGGTTTTAGACAGAAATGTCTGAGTGGATCTAAGTGTCCATCAGGAGTCAGTGACCACACCCACTGCCATGGAGTCCATTAGACCCACAGCGCCCCTGGAGGACAGAGTGGAACTGCCCACAGGGTCTCCAGGGCTGTCAGTCTTCACAGAAGCAAAGCCCAAACCACACCCACTGCCGTGGAGTCCATTAGACCCACAGCGCCCCTAGAGGACAG